CTGACGCCCCCTCTTTTCTACTTCCCGCTTCGCGCGGGTCCTACCGTCAGCTCGGGCAAAGCCCCCAATGCCCGAGTAAGGCTGTGTACGATGGGAGGGTGCCAGGTATCCAAAAGTTGGCTGCTAGGGACCAGTGCACCCACCGGCCACGCCCCGGTGCATCTAGAAGGGCGTACCCCGTCACCGCACGCCGTAGCTTGATGTTAAGGATTTTTTTATAGAGGTTATCATCCTCGCAGGCCGGCCGTTAAAGGCAGCCCCCCGCTCCCCTGACGCCACGTACCGCCCGGACAAGCCCACAGCGGGTCGTTGCAGCGCCAGGGGCCTACGGTACGCTGTAGGGCATTAGGAACTCGGGTACCTCGGGAACGTCAATTCCCGTACCACAACCAATGGAAAAAGTCAGCTGTGGCCCCTGAGGGGGGCCGATTGGGCATTTTTTTTTTCATTAATTACTTATTGTAATGCAGTTTTCGAACGGTAGCTCATCACTGCCTGCAAAAACTTAAAATGATTATAAACATTGTACTTGTTCTTTTAATATAATACATTTATAGGGTCACTTAGCCGCTCACAGTGTGGGCAAGCCCACACCGTGTCGTTGCCCGTCCCAGCCGCGTGATGGCGGACCCTTTTTCTACTTGCGATCACAAAATCAAAAAACCACTAAATCAGGAAACTATAAAATCATAAAGTCAGAAGTCAAATAATCGAATTAAAACTAATATACAAGAAACGAAATAAAACTTAAACTTTATAAACAATCTAAGTAAAATTATTTTTCTTTCAGGTCTATACTTCCAGTTCGCAGTCAACCAGCCGAGCACCATACAGGTAAGTATATGTGAGTATCATTATAGTTATAGGTAAGTATCTGTATATTATTAATAATACACAATTTGTTATTCCACTGCCTCAGCTGGTCGTCCGCGATGTATCAACTCAACCTAGATCCAACTCTACTGATCCCCTGAATCTCTCAGGTAAGTCTTTCTATGTTTAAATACTTCACCTGCGAAATCCGCAAAACTCAATAATTTTTCCTTTGTCGGTATTAATTGATCCCAACTATCTCGACTAGATCTTAAACCATCATATCTAAAAACCTCATAACAATTGCATTCGAAAATCATATGTTCCACACTCTCCACACCATCGCCACAACTGCGATAGACCGGAGAGGTAGAAATTAGGTTCCTCTTAAATAGACTATCATTAATGGGGCCATACACCGTTAACAAATAAACACAAAATCTTGAAGGATTAAACCAATTGTTCTCTGAATTAAAATTAACTCTCTTTTTAAACTTATAGGTAGTTCTTCCGTGTGTGTCTGAATCCCATCTGGATTGCCATACATCTTCCACTAGAGCTCTAACTCTATCTAGTTCTTCGTGCATTTCTTCACTATCGGGTTCTGTTAATGCACAGTAATGGTAATCTCTGAAACTCGCGTTTCTGTTCTTTTTGATCATTCTACTTATTCCGAATCTAATAATTTCCAGGTCCAAGGGCGGGTACCCTGCAAGTGTCTGCATGGCGATGGTGGAGGTAGTCCTGCAAGCCTTGACAACTAACAACAAGATACTTCTTTGGATGGCCGAGATATGTCTCCTGACCATAACTTTGTCAGCCTCTGGATACCAAATCACACAGCCATGTGTAATAATGGGTAAGCACACAGCCGTATACAAAATGTCCTGTATATATCTTCTAATACCCCACTCCTCGTGCGCAAGTCTTTTTAGAGCCATCATGTATTTAAAAATTTTTTCCCTTATCCTTTTCACATATTGCACAAAAGAAAGTTTGTCATCGATTAGTACCCCCAAATATTTGTAACTATCCACATACTTAATTTTCTCCCCGTAAATAACAATCCTAGGCAGCCTATCTTTATTTAATTTACCTTTTGATATCATAGCTCTAGTTTTATTCGTTGCAATTTGTCATTTGTTTAAACTGCACCATGATTCAATTTCATCTGTTATCTGTGAACCTAAATTTTCTATTTTGTTTCTGGAGTCCCCATAAATAGTGAAGACAACATCGTCCGCATAAGCTATCGCATTACCATCACTTGCCAAAAATTTGTTCTTAATTACATGTAAAAGTACATCCATGCACCAGTTCCAGACACATGGACCAATAATTGAACCTTGGGGACATCTACGTGCTTTCCACCTGATTTTTTGTACTTATTGTAAACTTCTATCTTTCTATTTTTAAAATAATTATTAACAATATTTACCAGACTGGTGCTCCACTTGTCATCAACCAGTCTAGCCTTGATTGCAGGCCACCATAGATTGTTAAATGCGCCCTGAACGTCTATAAATAGTGCTATTATATATTTTTTGTTTGAAACTGTCACGTTGTCCTTAAATGCTAATAAAGCGTCCTCCGTTGAGGCGCCTTTTTTAAAACCGTACTGCAATGCACTCTCCAAGTTACTAATTTGATATTGTACTTGCACTTTGTTTAAAATTACCCTTTCAAAAATTTTGCTAATTGTGGGCAGAAGTGTTATGGGTCGGAAAGAGTCTGTATCTTCCTTATTACAGTCATGATTCTTAGGTATAAAAATTATCTTTGACAGCTTCCAGCTGTCTGGTAACCTTTCCGTTCTTAGGCATTTATTGAAGAAAGTCAAAAGGACTTTCGGTCTGGTCTTCCATAAATTCTTAATGATCTCCGGCCCAAAACCATCCACACCAGGAGCTTTCTTGTTTTTAGTTCTGCTAATAGAGGAATTAATCTCCTTGATACTGATATCTGGTTCTACATTGCTGTTTGAGTACATTGCAATTTTCTGTCCAGTAGCCTTATGTATTTCTAATTCGTCTGCTATGTTGTCCTTAGGTAAAAATTTGTTCAATAACAACGTGACAGATTGCTTCCATGACTTGGTTCTTTCTCCAGAAGGGAGCACCATCGCACCTTTACTGGACATTTTTCTTAACTTGTCTCTTGCGATTTTATGCAATAGCCCCCAGGGGGACTTGCTTCCCTCATCCTCAACAAAACTTTTCCTTGTGACGGTTCTTGCTCTCCTAATTTCTTTAACTATTTCTTTAACTATTTCTAGCTTCTTTATAGCTGTTTTGATACTGCTGTAAGGTATCAGTCATTCGAAGCCGCCTAGCTTGAGAGAGCAGTTTTTTACGGCTTTTTACTTCCCTCCTCATTTCAGATATACTTGTACTCCACTACGGGACAGATCTATTGTTTAGTTTACTGCGCGGTATGGAAACTTGGCATACCTCGGTAAGAATAGCGCGAAAATCCCTATCAAAGTGATCTATATTTTTTATTTTCAGGTTATCCAGCTTTTCTGCATCCAATTTCTGATTCAATTCATGACTAAATTTGTCCCAATCTGCTAGTTTAATATTGTAACCGTGTCTTCTGGTATGTACAGTTATAGGGTAATTTTGAAACTTTATGTTAAACGTAATCAAATTGTGATCCCTGGTACAGCTTTTTCCTGTCACGCACCATCTATGGATGCGCCTTTTCATCGGTCTACTTGTTAATATGACATCAATATTTGATTCACTCCGCATGTTAAAGAAGGTGGAAATACTGCAGGGCTCATTAACCACTACTAAGTCTTTTTCAGCAATAAATTCTTCAAATTTTAAACCTCGGTCATTTGTTTCGCCAGAACACCACAGCACTGACCTGGCGTTTGCGTCCATATAAATAAGAATATTGTTATCATTAATATCATTCAAAATCTTTTCTAATTGGGAAGTGAAGTATTTTGTGGGAATAGAAAACTGACAGTATAGGTTAATAACGTGGAAATGCTGCCCGCCGACATCCACCCGAAAAACCAAAATATGTTTAGACTCACAATTTGTTACCTGAAAAACTTCAAGCCTAGTATCTTGATAGACAGTAGCTACCCATGGTTCATCATCCTGTGACTGGATAACACACAGATTTGGTGCGTTGTAACCTTTAACCTTTCCTTTGTAGGAGTATGGTTCCTGAAGGCAGAGTATATCCAAATTTTCCTCTATCATGATTTGCCTAAGTTCTGTTGCCGTTGCTATTGACCTACTAGCATTTATTTGAGCGAACATTAGTTCCATTTTATCCTAGATTTATATAACTCCACTTGCCTCAGGTACTCAGGACATTGTCTAAAATTAACGTTGTGTGAAATATCTTTTCTTTTCGATCTAATACAATTTACACATTTAGGATTTTCCTTGCTTGTGCAGCCTTCTCTGGAGTGTTGGTCAGATCCACAATGTAGACATATCTGTTTCTCGATACTACAGTGTTTGGCTATGTGGCCATGACCAAGGCACTTGTAGCACTTAATGATGTTTATATATTCTTTGAATCTGTACGACCTCCACTGCATGAAAAGCCTGCCCACATCGGTGATAGTGTTGAGATCCTTCGACGGTAATTGCACAATCCAGTGTACAAAGTTTTGATTTTTAGCCTTAAAACAATGTCTAAATTTAATGTTCTCTTTAGCTGTATTCTTTTCTTCCTCGTTTTTATAATTTAAATTTTTTAGAACAAAATCATCCAAAAGGTCGGATTGCTTGTGATCCTTATCAACGTCGTGTATAATAATACAGCTTGCATTGCAGCTTGCGAGCTGCATTAAGCGAGCATAATTGCAGCTTGCGAGCTGTGGCTCATCGCTGCCTAGTTCCTTACATTTTAGAGTTTTTCTTATTAACTTGTAAGTAGAGAAACAAACATCACTATGTTATAGATCATATTGTAATTTACATTGGGTCTTTTGGCCGCCGGGTTTGCACCCGACGTTCCGTCCCTGCCACGTGGAGGCGGACTCTCTACTTCCCTTGATGGTGTTTAACTTATGCTAAAAACTTTTAATTAAATCCAAAATCTATTTTCTTTCTTTCCAGGAACGTGGCTAATTGCTGTATGTATTTGTTCCAACGATAGGTAAGTACTGAATCTCAAGACCTAGATTAATTTTTCCTTATTTGTTTCTGGTACTCGACATGCATACATTTCAGAGGATGGTAAGTATTCTAACACAGGTAAATAAAAATCTGAAAACTTTTAATTTAATTTCTCTTTTCTTTTCAGATATCTGGAACATCGGTTGAGACAACAGGATCGTCCACTCCAACTACTGTTGTTTCAGAAAGGTAGGATTTGTCTTTATCATAAGTCTGTTTAATGTAATTTACAAAAAAAAAAAAATAATTTTCTTTATTCCGTATTAAATCTAACCAGTTTGCAGTGGAATTTCTTAGTAGTGTATATCTATATTGTTCATATTCCGTGCAGTGAAATAAAATGTATTCAACAGTTTCAGTATCATTGTTGCAGGCCGGACACGTCGCCGTATCCGTTAATCCCCTTCTGTGCAACGAATAATTCATAAATCCATAACCGAAAAGGATATATACACACAAACGAGGTGGAGTAAACTAAGATTTTTCTCTATGGAATCCGACATTTTTTAAAAACTGGTAGGTATTCCTACCATGTTCGTTTTCGTCCCACCTCCGTTGCCATTCCTCTGTTATTTTTTGTTCGATAAGTGTCCTTTTTGTTTCAATTGTGACACCTTCATCTTCGTCGGACCAATTAAAGCGCAGTCCTTTCCATGTTATAGGTAAGTTTTTCTTGAGTTCTCTTATTAACGCATATTGCACAATTTCAAGATTTATAGGCGGACACCCTGCGATAATCTGCATTGAGGCAGTTGATGTTGTTCTGCAAGCCTTCACTAGCACCATTAAAATCGTCCTGTGTATCGAGTTAAGATGTCTCTGAACCATAGCTGTCTCCGTCTTGTCGTACCAGATCAAGGAGCCATAAGTTATTATTGGCAAACAAACCGCCGTGTAAAAGACATTCAAAATTGGTCTTTTAATTCCCCACGTCTTGTTGGCACACCTTCTCAGTGACTTGATATACTTTACCAGTTTCTCGCGTAATCTTTTAACATAAGGAATAAAATTTAACTTCGAGTCAATAATTACACCTAAATACTTATATTCTGAAGCAAATTTAATGGTTTTCTGGTTTACTTTAATTGTTGGTGGTTTTCGCATATCTAATCTCCCCTTGACCAACACTGCTACAGTCTTTCTCTCTGATATTTTCAATTTATTGTACTGGCACCAATCCTCCAGCAATGCCGTAACCAAGTTCCCGTGTTGTTCAAGTTCAATTCTAGAATTTCCCTTGATGACAAAAAGTATGTCATCTGCATATGCAAAGACTTGGACATTGTCTTCATTCATTTTCTCTGAGAATTACATCAAGAATTGGTCGGTCTAAACACCGTAATTCCAGTTCCAAGCGGCTGGTCCAATGATGGATCCTTGCGGACAACCCCTTTGTACAACATGAGTCACCACTTGATGTTGACTCCTAACTTCGATTTTTCTGCGCCTAAAATAGCTCCTTATCAAATTTATTAGCGTGGTACTATAATTTCCCAGGACCAACCGCGCTCTAATCGCTGGCTACCATATATGGTCAAAAGTACCAACAATATCTACAAACAAGGCCAAATCATATTTTTTATTAGTATGGGCGATCTCTTCTCTAAATTCAAACAAGGCATCCTCAGTGCCAAATCCTTCCTTAAAACCGTATTGCCTGCTGCTCGCAAGATTTTGCTCATTGTAAGATAACTGTATTCGATCGACTATCACCCTTTCAAAGATTTTACTAATTACTAGCAGAAGAGCAATGGGCCTATATGCACCTATCTGCTGCAAGTCTACTTCCATTGTTTTTGGTAATATCATTAAACTAGCCTTCTTCCATATAATGGGTATTTCGTTTGTTCTGAGACAGAAATTAAAAATGGAGAGTAGTATTTCCGGTTTAATTATCCATAAGTTCTTGATCACTTTCGGAGGGAAACCGTCCAAACCCGGTGCTTTTTTATTCTTCGTTCTTTTAATGGCGTTTTTGATCTCTAAACTTGAGATATTCGGTTATAGATTTAAATTTTGGTTTCGACTATTTGATTTCCTAATATTTTTGTGTATTTCTGTTTCAGTGTCAATGCTGTCGCCGGGGGCAAACTTTTCGCATAAGGCTTTAACTGATTCGGCGCAAGAACATGTCATTGAGCCATCCTCTAACATTAAGGTACCAATGTTACTCGGGTTCTGGAATTTGTATCTGATCAATTTGTGTATCATTCCCCAAGGTTCACGATTTCCCTCTTCATTAACAAATCTTCTCCATGACAGCCTCTTCTGCTTCTTAATTTCCGTCACGTATCTGTTTCTGTTTATTCGGTATTGCTCGTTACAACGCTCCATTGTGTCGTGTAAATGTAATCTGCGCGCTCTGGCCACCGCCCTTCTGCTCCGTTGAACATCATGTCGCATGCGCGCCAGGGCGTCCGTCCACCAGGGGACCAGCCTCCCCACGCTCTTTTTCCGAGGAATGGATGCAATACCAATCAGCCAATCTAATATTGAAAGGCCTGTTCAGTATGGAAATATCTTCAGTGTGTCTGCGATCTCGAATCTTGAATGTGATCAAATTATGATCAGAAATTGCCGATAAGTCTGTAATTTTCCAAGAGTGTACATGCGCACTAAGTTCTCTCGAACAAAGTGTCACATCAATGTTCGACGATCTACGCGTATTTAAAAATGTTGTTAAAGTAGATGGCTGGTTAATAATTATAAAATCATTTTCAAAAATAAAATCTTCCACAAATTTCTTTCCATTATCATCTGTCTCGTCTGAGAACCAGGATGTCGATTTGGCGTTCGCGTCCATAACTATAAGTATCCGTCTAGAATCTAACCTTTCCAAACAGGACTCGAGATCAGTAATAAATTTATTTATAAGTTGAGAGAACTGACAGTAAATGTTTATGATATAAAAACTAAAATTACCATAAAATAGATGAAAAACCATTAAATGCTCTGTTTCCAGAAATGTCACCGAGAAGACATCCAGTTTCCGATCTACCACCGCGGCAAGCCACGGTGCGTCATGCTTAGGAAATAGCGTAATCAAATTTGTGGTGGCATTATAGCCGCAAACTTTGCCCTTATAGGAGTAGGGTTGCTGTAGACACAGAATGTCTATTTTGTGCTGAGTTGAAATGTTCGTAGTTCAGCCGCTGCTGTCCTAGATCTTTGGGCGTTTATGTGTGCGACTACTAAGGTCCATTGAACCTTTTCCTGGTACAGCTCAACTTGTCTCAAGTACTCAGGGCATCCCTTACTCCTTACGCTGTGCAATACGTCCTTTCTTTTGTACCATGTATATAACAGGCACTTAGGATTCTCTTTGCTCGGGCATTTATCCCCTTGATGCTCAGTACTGCCGCAGCTTTCACATATTTGTGACGCCACTGAACAATACTTGGCAACGTGTCCATATGCATGACACTTAAAGCAACGCACAATAAATAATCTTCAAATTTATACGCTCTCCAGAGCATAAATATCCTTCCTCTATTGTTTAATTTATCCAGAGCCGGTCCTGGCAACTGGACAATCCAGTTAACTCTACCTTCATTTCTTGTTTTGAAAGCGTATTTAAACTTCATTTCGCTCTTGATTCTACTCACTTCATTCGGAGTCAACTTGGCAAAATTTTTTGAACAAAAATCATCCAGAAGTTCTTCTGGCCTCCATTATTTTTCCACGTCATAAATAATAATAGACGGGTCTATTTTTTTTGGTTCTGTGGCATTAAGACCAATTTTTTCCAAGTCGGACTCCTTAATAATTTTTATGTCTTCCGTGCTGTTCGCCTCAATTAACACTCCTTTGTTTCTCAAGTGCCTAATCTGTGTTATTTTCAAATTCCTCCGATTACTTGCTAAAACTTTAGTTACCTGTTTCTTTAACTCTTCGTTAGTTCTTTTATCGCTCTCGTCTCTAGGTTTTAAGATTATCACCTTACCCTTTTCTTTCTTCTTTACAGTGTCGCGAGTAGGCGCACCAGCGGCAGGGGTCATCGTCTTAGTGGGCGTCGCTGCCATTTGAGCGTAGGTACCGGACTGTTTTTTTAGACATTCGTTGTGTATTGCCGTAACCTTTTCTTTTTCTAAGATTTCCTGCTGTAGACGCATTTCAAGTATAGCCCACTTGGCCAACACAAATCGTGCAATACTCTAGTTTACTTTATTGTTCTCATTAAATAGAAAACTTTCCAACGTGTCCCTTTCAAACTTTATTTCTTCTAGAACGCCCCTGCCTACAGATGGCCCACCATCAGCACCCCCTTCGATAGCAGCTCTTCTCCTTTTGGTTCCTGGCACTCCAAGAACGGTGTCGTCCGCGACGGACGAGTTTGACAAAACTCCGCCGACTTCAAAAGGTGATGGCCATCAGGATCGTCCGGGGATACTGTACGATCTCCCACGAGGCAACGAATGACGCTGGCGGTACTCGCTCCATTCGAGTTCCTGACGGTGGGGAACGCCCAAGTGTATGGGCGTCTCCACGAACTCCGCCGAGGCAGGCCGATCCCGTCAGCGTCAGAGGTTGAAGTGCTGAGGCGCCAGTTCCGACAAGGCGCGCTGGCCAAGTGGAAAGAACACTTGGCGGGGAAGGTAGACCAGCGCGCTGTAGGGACGGTTCACCCCAGTTTCGACGAGTGGGTGAACCGCGGCAGGGGGTGGCTCACGTATCGCGTGACTCAGGTACTCTCCGGACACGGGTGTTTCGGGGAGTACCTGCACCGGATCGGCAAAGAGGTGACCAACGGATGCCACCACTGTGAGGAGGGACGCCAGGACTCGGCGCAACACACCCTCGTGGAATGTCTCGCGTGTGAGGTGGAGCGCCGAGTCTTGGTGGAGGAGGTTGGCTAGGACCTCCCGCCGCCGGCCCTAGTCAGGGCCATGGTGGCGAGCGAGAGGTTCTGGGAGGCGGCGGCCTTCTTCTGTGAGCAGGTCATGCTGGAGAAGGAGGCCGCCGAGAGAGAGACAGAGGAAGGACAGCGGTCATCCCTCCAGGAGGACGAATCGGGGGGCGGGGAGGCGAGACCCCCGCCCTCCCGACTAGATGCACATGGCATTTAATTGATTATGTTTCTCAGTGGTTTACAATTTTACCGATTCTAGTTTTAATATTTGCAATCTTTGACAAACGCAAACAGTTTTTTCATGATAAAATTGCAAAAACAGTAGTAATAGACTATAAACCTAGTTGATATTTATCTTTATAGGCAGTGTATGGATAAAAACGTAAACTACTCAACAATGACAAGGCGTATTCTAGCATTTATAGTTGATTGTATTTTATTTATCGCAATACCATTTGCTTTAATAGCGGTAGGTTTCTCACTTACACACGTAATACAAGGGATCATGGGTGCAATAATTGTAATCACCACGATTGTATTTTCTTTGTTTTTAATGATACCATGTATATTTCATATATTCATGCTAGTAAAATTTGGCGGCACTCTAGGGCACTTGTTATTTAGCATGCGTGTAAACTTAAATGGATCCCCGGTGGTGGTCC